AAAAAAAAAAGGCCCCCCCCCCCCCCAAGAAGGCCAAAGCAGCCACACGGGGGGTGAAGCCCAGGATGCAGAGCGGCAGTCGCAGTTCGAGGCTCGTAGGAAGACCTGCCGGGGCTTTGGAGCTTTTAGGTTTTGGGCTTTTTTGGCTTTGGGCTTGGGATTTGGGGGCTTGGGATTTGGGTTCTTGGATTTTTTTGTGTTTTGGGCTTGGGATTTGGGGTTTTTGGGCTTCTGGGCTTGGAATTTGGGTTTTTTGGGCTTTTGGGCTTTGGGCTTCGGATTTGGGTTTTTTGGGCTTTTGGGCTTTGGGCTTCGGATTTGTTTTTTTTGGGCTTTTGGGCTTTGGGCTTCGGATTTGGATTTTTGGGCTTTTGGGGGTTTTGAGCTTGGGATTTGGGGTTTTTGGGCTTTGGGCTTGGGATTGTTGTTTTTTTGATTTTTTGGTGTTTTGGGCTTGGGATTCGGGGTTTTAAGGTTTGGGGCGTTGGGTTTAGGGTTTAGGGTTGTTGGGTTTAGGGTTTAGGGCTTTGGATTTAGGGTTTTTGGTTCAGGGTTAGGGTTCAGGACTTGGGGCGTAGGGCGTTCAGGGTTTAGGGTTTTAGGGCATTGGGTTCACGGTTAAAGGTTGAGGTCTTGGGGTTGCAGGAGCCCTCACGAAGCAGAGACCCTCATAGGACCCTCATGCGAACCGTGACCCTGCTATTAACCCACACACAATAACCCGTCTTGTAACCCTTCTGATAGGGATGCTTATCGTGAGCTTTCTAGTCAGCCTTATAGAAACCCATATAAACGCCTTTTTGTAACAAACATCCTGATACAAGCTCTGCGCTCTCTTTTGCCTTAAGCCCCAAATCTTACTCCCTAAACCCTAAACCCCAAATCTTATTACTTTCCTAAACCCCAAACCTAAACCCTAAGCCCTACATCTCAATTTCCTAAACCCCGAACCCTAAATCTTCCTCCCTAAACCTGAAACCCTGAATCTCAACTTCCTAAACCCCAAACCCCACATCTTACTCCCTAAACGCAAAGACCTCAACCCTATAGACCCCTAAACCCTAAACCTATAGCACGTAGACCCCTAAACCCGAAACCCCAAACCCTAAACCCCAAACTTTCCCTATACCCTATACCCTAAACCCCCATAACTTTCCCTGAACCCTAAACCCTAAACTTTCCCTAAACCCCTAACTTTCCCTAAACCCTAAGCCCTAAAGCCCAAACTTTCCCTAAACCCTAAGCCCTAAACCCCAAACTTCCCCTAAACCTTATAAACCCCAAACTTTCCCTAAACCCTAAGCCCTAAACCCTAAACCCCAAACTTTCCCTAAACCCTAAACCCCAAACTTTCCCTAAACCCTAAGCCCTAACCCCTCAACCCTAAGTTGGGTCCGAAGTGCCTCGGCCACCTCACCGGCCTGGGGGCTCCGAAGTTTGAGCTTCGGCCCCCAGGTGAAGTGGCGAGCCTTGGGCTTCGGGGGACTTTGGGGGTTTGGGGGTTTAGGGTTTAGGGTTTGGGGGGTTTGGGGGTTTAGGGTTTAGGGTTTATAGGGGTTTAGGGTTTAGGGTTTAGGGTTTCGGGTTTAGCGTTTCGGGTTCGCCATGTTTGGGCTTGAGAATAGAGGTACGGCGAGGCCCCTAAACCCCGAATAATAGATGGGCCGTAACAACTATCTGTATTATTTTCGGGGCATCTTATTTCTTGTAAATAGAGTATGCTATACCCCAAAACCTTATTCTAACTCTTAAGGCCTCTATAGTGCCCTCTCCGGGGGGCCTCATGCATCTCCACTCGCTCCCATGGCTGCATGAGGCCAGGATGGCTCTCCTTAGTTGCTGAGTTCATAAGCCACAAAAAGTGTACACTTTCAGTTTTATAGTGGGCAATACTATCCCAAAAAGTGTAAAGTGTATCCACTCAGCTACTGAGTCTCCGCCTGGTCCAGGCGGACCACGCAGAACTCCACATCCCGATCCGGCTCCAGCGAGATGACCTGGAACAGAAGGCACCAAGGTGGGGGGACGGGCCCGGGATTGGGTAGTGGGGAGGGGGGGTGTAGGGCTTACTTAGGGTTGAGGGTTTACATATATATATATATACACACAAGGGGCCTTAACAATTCGAATAGGGTTTTAATCTTGTGGCCCATTATACTACAATTCTACTAAGGAACCCCCCCCCACAAAAAAAATTATAGAGGTAATTCTTGGCGGCCCCTTTTTTTGGAGCTTAGGGTTTGGGGCTTTCGGTTTCGAGGTTTACGGGTTTACGGCTCCAGAGTCGATAATCTTGGAGAGTTTTGAAGGTTTCAAGCTCGGGAGGGCGGGTTTAGGGTTTAGGGTTTAGGGTTTACCTAGACCCTAAAGAACCTACCTTTTTGGGGCTCCGTACTATAGTTTTTTTTGTAAAAGTCCTCAAAAAGGTAGGTTCTTTGGGGTTAAGGTAGGGTTTAGGGCTGAGTCTAGTCTGCCGGGATCCGAGATAGGGGCTTGGAGGGCTGGCCGAGGGTTTAGGGGCGGCTTGGGGTTTAGGGTTTAGGGTTTAGGGTTTAGGATTAGGGTTTAGGGTTAGGGTTTAGGGTATATATATATATATATAGGGTTAAGATAGCTAGTGAAGGGAATAAGTCGCCAATTGCCAAAGGTCTCCCACTGCTTTGTGCATTTAGGGTTTCCTAGGTAGCAATTATGGCCCACATAGTTCCGAGCCCTGCGGTATGGTTTGGTACACTCTTGAGGTTCTGCTCTGTTCCGCTACGGGCATTTCCACCAAGGAACGAATGCTCAACCCTAAAATAAGAGCCAAATCCTGACGCTCCAAACCCTGATCCAAAGCAGAAGCAGCGGCTGTGGAGGTCCAGCAATCTCCTGGGTGCGGATGTGCCAAAGAAGAATGAAGAATTTTAGTTCAGTCTTGCCCCTTGTAGCGCTACGCCCTAACACTCTGAACCCTGGAAGCCCTAGAACCGAAGTAGGCCCTAAACCAGAAAACCCTATAAGCTGTAGAACCTACATAAGCCCTATTGCCCTACAGTAGAGCTCAAAAGTTGGAAACCCAATAGCCTCAATCCGCAAGAGTAATGTAGAGGGAATCCCAGCACGAATTGTCCTTAATCCGGTTTCCAACTTTTGTGGGTTTAGTATATAGACCCTAACCCTGTAATCCAGCCCTATGGCCCTATGCCCTAGAAACGACATGAAAACAGTAAACAGGCGCGTGAGACCCGAACCCCAAGCCCTTTAAGCCAACACAAAGCCACCTTGGAACCAATGCTAGCAGCATTGATCTCTGCGAGCCTTAAGCTTGTAGAATTCACGAGATTCCTAGACAATCGTAGGTTTAACTAAAACCCCAAACCCTAAACCCTACACCGTAATGCACACGTCCTCAACTTCATAACTGACCCTTGCTTCTAACGATCCCCAAACTGCAAAAACAAGTAGAGTTAAGGGGTTTAGGGGTTTAGGGTTTGGGGTTTAGGGGTTTAGGGCAGTTTAGGGTTTAGGGCAGTTTAGGGTTTAGGGTAGTTTAGGGTTCAGGGGTTTAGGGAATTATGGTTTAGGGGTGTAGAGTTTAGGGGTTTAGGGTTTAGGGGAATGTCCAAAACCTGAAACCGTAGACTTCCGTTGACTCTGAACCGCTCCCTTATCAGAAGCCCGATGTCCAAACAAAAACCAAAAGCCAAGAGCTTAAGGGCTTAATCCTTTAACCCCAAATAAGGCCCTAAATCCCGAAACCCTAAACCCTAAATTCCAAAACCCTTTATCCTAAACCCTCAATTCCTACACCCTATACCCTAAACCCTAACTTCCTAAATCCTAAATCGATCCTAAACCCCCAAATGCCTAAACCCTCAATCATAAACACCAAATTCCTAAACCCTAAATCATAAACCCCAAATTACTAAACTTCAGATCCAAGCCCACTGGTAAAATCCATAATTTTGGATTAGATCCATGTCAATACCCAGAGCCCCCGCCCAAGAAAAAGCAAAACTTAACCCACAACCGTCAACCCTGAGCCCAAAAGTCTATCAAACACCCTCAGTTCACCCATGAAGAGCAGCTAGGTTTCCCCGTAGCACCCCTAATGATAAGCGATAATGGCACCCTGTTTTTACCACCATTTTGGTGTGAATATGGGGGAACACTACAAAAAGAAGAAAAAGGGCCCAAACCCTAAACCCCTAAACCCCTAAGCACTAAACCCAAAACCCTAAACACCTTAAGCACTAAACCCCAAACCCTAAACCCCTTAAGCACTAAACCCCAAACCCTAAACCCCAAACCTTCAACCATAAATCCCAAAGTTTACCAATGAGGAACCAGGTTTCCTTCCCACCAAAGGTCCAGGCCTCCCTGGGGGTCCCAGCAGTCCTCGTCACCGCCACCAAGTTCCTGAGATATACCTTAAACTATAGTAGGATCCCTAATATGATTTAAGGTATATTCCTTAATTAAGGGATATGGGAGTCTCTGAGATGGGCGGAACATGAAGTTTATGGTGGCCTTTCGCGGCATGTCGGTGCTGGAGGGCCGAGTTCTGGCAGTTTTGTTGTTTAGGGTTTAGGGTTTAGGGTTTAGGGTTTAGGGTTTAGGGTTTAGGGTTTAGGAGGATTTAGGATCGTGTCTTGGCTTCGCGATCATAGCTTTGGGGTCGGGGGCTCAGTTCGTCCTTAAACCTTCACCCCGGGTCCCATTCCCTCGGTCCTTGCGCAGGAACACGTTTTGAGTGTTAAACGGAATGAGGAGAACAAGTTTTTTTACTGATAACTTATGTACGGTCGCAATAGGAATCCATGCTAGAATCCACAAAACCTGAGCAGCAGACCACAGAAAGCCCCCTGGCCCTATAGAAAACCGCTAAACTAGGTTCTCCAGTAGCCCCTTGATAATAAGGGTACCCTTTTTCCTACAATTTGGTAAGGGAACTCAAAAGGAAAAAGGGCAAAAGGGTATTACTGGGGAACCTAGTACCTACACCCTGAGCCCAACAGCCTTTCTAAACCTCTAAACCCAGAATCCTATACTATAGGAACCTGATTAAGAAACCCCTGTGCCTTTAATAGGGTTCTTAATATGGGGGTTTCCGAGAATTGGGGACCCAAATATAGTACCCTAAATAATAGGATCCCTATTATAAGGACCCCAAAATAAGGTACCCCTTGTTTTCGGAACCTCCCATATGAAACCTAAACGGTGCACTCTGTCAGCCTCGGATCCTCCAGAGTTCCGACGATGCGTGGCCTCATCGGTCCCGTGCCCGTCCGCGTGTCTGGCCAAGCCCAGGAGGGTCCACACAACACCTACAGGGTAGCTTGTTTAGGGTTTAGGGTTTAGGGTTCACTTTCGCCATAAGGTTTGAGATCTGTACTTTTAACAGTTATTGTGCGGACAGCGGTCTCTTGTGAGGTCTATGCCTGCAAGGTCTGAGGTTTCATGCGTTCCGGCCTTTTTCTCCGGGTGATGTCAAGGTGCTTGGTTTCGTGACGTATCTTACTGGGGAAGCAGCTCACATGGCCGCCCTGCTTTCGTCAATATGCCCCCCCACCTGCGCAATGTCCTGGTCCAGGCGGAAGCGGATACCAGAAGGCTTCGATGGCAGTCGGTCGTTTACCAGCCAGTCGTGGGAGGAGTAACAGGAGCTGTCCCAGGAGTATCTACAAACGTGCTGAGCGCAGTTCTCGTCCCAACCAGAACAGTTCTCGTCCCAACCAGAGCAGTTCTCGTCCCATCCAGAACAATTCTCGTCCCGTCCAGAACAGTTCTCGTCCCATCCAGAACAGCTCTCCTCCCATGCAGAGTGATCCGAAGCCCAGCTGTTGCCAGAGTCCCTCCATGCATCGTAGGATTTCCCTCTTCTAGGGCTCTCAAAGCCTTGCTCTCTTCTCTGCCGCCGCGGGCTTCTCCTACAGCTTTTCTGGTGTCCACCGACCTCCTTTCTGACACCTCTTATCCACCACTTGCCCTCTGAGTTTAGAGACCGATTTCCTTTTCCCGGAGAGCCCGAGGGTCCCACTCTTCGCTTGTGCCAGGCTTCTCGTGACATGGGGCCTCTAAGAAAGCGCACCTCCCTGACGACTCATGCGTGTGCGCGCGCCTATAGTCGGGCTTTTTGGGGGCGTTGAGGGGAGGCTTTTGTGGTGGTCCTAGAGCCTTGAGTTTCCGGTGTTAAGGTCGTGGCAGGGCCATGGATGATGAATCACTGCATGCTGGACATCTATGACGGCAGCAGCTGGACTGAAAACACGGGGCAAAGGGCTCTCACTGCCTCGGAAATGCTGCAGCACACAGAGCTACCCATTGGCCCCATAGCAGTTCCTTTTTGGGATTACCTGGTAGGATTCTAAATATGAACCCCAAAAAGGAACTACTATGGGGCTTATATATGGCCTTTGGGTACAGACACGAGCAAATCGCCAAACTTGGTCTTGAACTTTCGCGACCACGTGCAACGACTTCCTGCTGGAAACCACCCAGCCACAGACTCGCAAAGGGTTTGATTGGACCACTCCGACGTAAACCCTAATCCCAAATACCCTAAACCCCTAAACCCTAAACCCTAAACCCTAACCCCTAAACCCTACACCCTAAACTGTTGTCCGCTTGAATATAAACTGCCCCTGACCCTGGAGATCTATTGAGGCCCTTAAAGAGGGGCGTGATTAACAGGCTACGCCCTTGGCCCTACTGTAACCCATACTTCCTAAAGGCTCTGCCTGCAGACCTCATAAGATCAAGCTACAATCAAGAACCTCAGCCAGGCACGGTTTAGGGTTTAGGGTGCAGGTTTAGGAAAAGCCCCTATTACTTGGGAGCACTTTTGACTTAGCAGGAATGCTTAGCATCTCCCATCCCCCCACAACAACCTAAGTAACCCACCTCACCTGCTTACCGAGTCAAAAGAGCGTCCAAGAAACTTTCTGACGATGTGTTGAGCTTTTAGGCTGGGTGCAGGACCATAAAGGTTGCCTTCCGAATGCTGGTATCATCTAGGGGCCTGAATCTTGGGAACAGAGTCTTGGGGTATGGCACACTAAGATGACAAGAAGACAAACTACCACAACTACTTAATTAACAGCTCTGTAACATAACCCAGGGTTCAGGGTTTAGGGTTTTAGGGTCTACCTATAGTCTCCATTGTAGTTCCTTTTTGGGGGATACCTTATAGAATCCTTAACATAGTTGGTTAAACCAAAAAAGGAACTACAATGGATACGTACTATAGGTACATACCCAACAAGCAGAAGGGCACCAGTTTGATCTCAGCATAGCTTGCGGACCATGGAGGTTAGCTGAACTCGCATAGTCCACCCGTAACGATAGGGTTACCTTAACCCCAAAGAACCTACCCTTTTAACGACTTATATAAATAAACTATAATAAGGAGCCCTAAAACGGTAGGTTCTTTAGGTTCTAGGTATGGATTCAGGGTTTAGGATATCCACAACAATTTGACAAGATGAGTAACAATGAGAACCAAGAATTTGTCAAGAAGAACATCCATGTGAAGGATCCTCCAACATCTTGCCTTCAGCTGCAACTCTGAACATACCCTAACCCCGATCCTAAACCCCTGACCCTGCCAAGCTCTAATCGATCTCCCTTACCTGACCGGACGTGGCGGAGCAAAGCCACCTCCAGCGCTGCGAGGCATTTTCGGTGGGGTTTGTTTGGAGCTCAACATTTTGTGTTTGAGGATTAGGATCCCTAAACCCTAAATCCTAAGCCCTAAGCCTAAACCCTAAACCCTAAACCCTAAACCCTGAACCCTAAACCCTGAACCCTAAACCGTAAACCGCGAACTTCAAACCCAATTCAGGGGTCTCTAAGGCGGTTTTAAGACTGAGGGGCTTAGAAGCTTGAGGCTCCGGGGCTCTAGGGCTTTAGGATTTAAGTCTTAATGCTTAGGCTTGGCTTAGGGTTTCGGGTTTAAGGCTTCGGGTTTTAGAGCTTCGGGCTCCGGGTCGCGGGCGAGGGTTTATAGGGTTTAGAGCTTAGGATTTAGGGTTGAGGCTTCAGCCTGTTTTTCACGGCCCCTTTCTTCTCAGCTTCACAGCCTCCCGGTTCAGAGTTGAGGGTTTAGGCTTGGTTTAGGCTCGGAAGGTGCATGAGGGTTTGGCGATTCCAGTTTAACGCTCCGATCAGTGGGCTCGGAACCCAGTGCTCAAAATTCGGGTTCAGGTCAACATGGAGCTTTTGTTGTTTTGCACAGTGGATCGCTTGCACCGTGATTCTTCTCCCTGCACACAGTGATCGTAGTATTGTGCGTAATTTGATGTCAGCAGGGTCGTTTCTAGCGATAAGTGCATGGTCCTGAAGACCCACGACCCCAACATCCTAAACCGCAGAACCGTGAACCCTAACCCACCTAGCATCGAACGCTCTATCATCCTAAACCCTAAACCCTCTATAACCCTAAACCCTAAACCCTCTATAATCCCAAACCCTAAACCCTCTATAACCTGAAGCCCAACACGGGTCTTCAGGTCTATGGTCTCAACCAGCTGAGCTGCTGGGTTTAGGGTTTAGGGTTTAGGGTTCAGAGTTCAGGGTTTAGGGTTTAGGGTTCAGGGTTCAGGGTTCAGGGTTTAGGCTTCAAGCTTTGTGCTCAGCATCCCTTCATGTAGGGGCCGTGATGATCAGACTAGGGTTTTGGGCGGGTTGCCTTTGTATAATTAAAGCATAATGCGCCCCAAAACCCTATTCTACATATTAAGGCCTCTATATTCACCCCATACCATGAATTTAATCTTCACTCCGATGGAGGCATGCACTGCGCCTTCAAATATAAAGCGTTCAGGACTGCTGTAGTTGTGAGTCTCATGGTCTCATTCACGAAGCAAGCATGATATACCTCTACCAGCCGAACGAACGTCAATACACAAATCCTACAACTCCCGGCTCCGGGTTGGAAGTCCTTAGGGCGGGCTTCTAGGCCACTGAACCATCTCAATGAACACAAAAACCATGGCAGTCCCTCGCACTTCTCAAGGATCGACTGAACCCCCAAATTCACGGCATGCTTCTGGGATAGCCTCTTTTGCAGGTAGGCCTGCAATCCTGCACCCTAAACCCCAAACCCCTAAACCCTAAACCCAAATCCACAACTGAATCTACGTCGGGAGGTTGTCGGAAGCAATTGAGTCCCAGGCGACTGCCACACCATCCGGAGCAAGAGCCCCACGGTGAGATCGTCATGGCTCGTCTGTAGGAAGCCCATGAGGCCTTCAACTGCACTCTTTAAAGGGCTTATGGTTTAGGGTTTAGGGTTTTAAAGGCTTAAGGACCGAAAGACCCTAAACAAATACAGGGCTCTACATCTTGTGCTATGAAGCGTGCAGGGGATATGAAGCACAAAGCGTTTTTTGGGTCCACGTGCTCTCTCTATGCGTAGTTTTCTAAGTTAGGGTCCCTTTTAGGGTCCATTTTTATACGGGTGCCATATTATATTGGGGACCTAAAGGGAGACCCCAGCTTAGAGAACTACCCCTATGGGCTTTCCATCGGATCGAAGGTCTATAAACCCTTAAACCTCGAACCTGACCCTAAGGGTCCAAAGGACCCAATAATAGGATACCTTTGGAGAGGATAGTAGTTATATGGGTTACTATTAGTAGTTATATAGGTTACTATTAGTAGTTATATAGGTTACTGTTTGGGAGAGTATATGATTATTGGGTACTTGGACCCTTGGGGTGAAGAAAGACAACGGCTCCCGGAGTTCTGCTGGGATTTGTATCGGGCCCTTCCTACGCAAACCCTAAACCCTAAACCCTAAACCCTAAACCCTAAACCCTAAACCCTAACCCTAAACCCAAACCCTAAACCCTAAACCCTAAACCCTAAACCCTAAACCTCACAAAACGCTTGAAGACCCTAAGTCCAAGCTTCCAGCGCGCAAGCCCTGAACCCTGAACTGAGGGCCCCAACGGGGAAGCTCGGGCTTTCGAGGTTTAGGGTTTTAGGGTTTAGGGTTTCAGGGTTTAGGGTTTCAGGGTTTAGGGTTTGGGGTTTAGGGTTTTAGGGTTTAGGGTTTGGGGTTTAGGGTTTTCGAGGTTTAGGGTTTGGGGTTTAGGGTTTTAGGGGTTTAGGGTTTGGGGTTTTCGAGGTTTAGGGTTTAGGGGCTCAGGGTTTTCGAGGTTTAGGGTTTAGGGGCTCAGGGGCTCAGGGGCTCAGGATCCACATGGGAGAAGTGCTCTCAAGTAGGGCCTTTGCAAAGCGGCTCTTGTAGTCAGTAACATCTACGATCATCTATGTTACACATAACATATCACACAAAGGGGTATCACATCATATCACATCATATCATGCCATCTCATATGATATATGTATTTATGTATATATAATCTTCGCAGAATCACTGCTAGTCCATCTCAAGCTCTTCTTGTAGATAGCCTCTACACTGGTTCCTTTCGAGGAACGAGGCACCGCAAGGCCCTGAAAGCTTTGCTGCACAACTCTCTTTTCAGGCTTCACGAACTTTCTCTTCGTGGCAGGGGGGAAGCCCTCTTTCGAGTTTACTGGGCTTAGGTTGAATAAGTAAACTTGGTCACCGTTTTACACGATCAGGCAAGCACCACGCAAGCCATCACAGGCTGAACTAACGCCAACCGTCCCTTGTTAAAAGGAAGCCCAGGCTGCGTTCAGGATCTGATCAAAGCGTTGAGAGAAAGTGTGAAAGCCTGAACCCTACACATAAACCGCAAGAAGCTGGGAAGTCCCTTAAATAACAAACTTGTATGCAGCAGTCGCGAATGAGTTGACATGAGTTTTCGGGGCGCTTCCCCACCCGCTGAACGGTGGCCTTTGCAGAATGTGCGGATGCCCTCCTTGGCGAGGAGTTCGGGTCGAGGTAGGGTATACACCGCAACCCCTGCACCAGACCCTACACTCTTAACCCTAGGGCCCTTGGGTTTAGGAGAGCTCAAGGGCTTTGCCAGCCTGGGATTTGCGACTGCTCTTGGAAGTCCTATCGTTTCACGGTAGGGTCGTGAGATTTCTGCTCGGGGTTTAGGGTTTAGGATTTGGGTTTCCTAATCCTTCGCT